AGAGCCAATTCACATTGTACTGCAACTTGCAGCAACGTATCAAAGAGCATAAATATACGATTAATAAGAAACTTGACAACACCATGCTATCGGCTTACACAACACAACACGACATTCAAGTCCATTGGGATCAGGCAGAAATAATTAAACCTACAACAAATTTACATACAATGAAATATCTGGAAAAATTAGAGATCTTTAAGGTACACAAGAAAACTGGTTGCATCAACCATAGACATGCGGATTCTTTACCTACTGCATGGCGATCCTTTTACAAGAATTAATGACTTTATTTATTTTTATTTTTGTTAAGGGACATTTTTTCGACTTAATTTATACTTTTTGTTTATTTTATCAACACAGCTACTTTTCCATTATTTATATTTTAATTTTGTATTTACGTTCTTTTTTGTGTTCGATTTTATTGTGTATTATGGTAACTGAAGATGATCATTAAGAAACGATTGAAAACGTTTTTACTTTATTAATTTTTATTAGCTGGATTATTAAAGGTGTGTTTTATTAGTAATGCGACAAATGTTCATGATTTTCTTTGCTCAACTTTGTAAAATCTGGTTGCTTTTTGGTCAGCTTCAGTCTCAAGTCATCTTCGAGTTGAAGTCGGTGACGATGTTTAGTTTTCATGTTTGTCATGGCCGAAAATCCGCTCTCGCAGAGGTATGTTGTGCAAAATGGTAGTAAATATTTTATTGCCGCTTCGCTGACATGATAATGATAATTAACATAAATTGTGTTAATTGTACAATTTTTGTTCCTTGCATAAGAATTTCATTTAGGTATTGTAACAAATGCATTTTTTTTGATGAAATTGCGAGAATATTTTTAGTTATAAATAAACGGATTTGTGCATTTGATATCATGTTGTAAATTGCCAAATTTTTGATGATCCACCCATTATTTTTTTTATTGCTTCATCTCATGCATTTAAATTTTAAATCGACTGATTTTAGATTGCCGCGCATACCTGTACATGCAGAACAGTTTTTATATTGTTTTGTAATCCCTGTTTTTCAACTGCCACGACCCCTTTACACCTCCCAGTTATGTTTTTAATAAGAGGATGGTGAAAAATGCATCACTGGTCTTTTGGTCCTCTGTGACCTGGGTGCGCTTGGCATTGAACCTGGATCTGGTGGGGGCATAGATGGTACAAGATCTAATCTATTTTCCTGTTCTCTTGTTGTCAGAGCAGACTGAATATCTATAGGGAGTTGATCAAAGTGAAAATGTGACTCTAAGGCTACTCTCCTTGGTGCTTTGTTTTTTTAAAGATGTTGCACCTTCTAATTTGATTTTGATGTCACTTTACTACTCTACAGCAATGGTTCCCAATTAGTGGTATATGTACTCCTGAGGGTACGCGAAATTGCATGAAGGGCTGCTTGCTTAGCGTCGGCTGTTTTCATTTTAAAATCGTAAAATCGTGGCCACTGATTATCAGAAATTATGATTCTATCTGTTATTTTGATACTCTTCTTTCTTTATAATGTTTTATTTACTTTAGTTTCCTGTAATTAGAGACAATATGGCTTTAAAATAAACAGATCAGGTCTCACTCGCCGATAGATTATCTCAACTTTCACCAATTGTCGTCGGTTCCTTTCTTATAGGAGATGAATTGTCCATGTTTCAAAGTCCTGTGTTAAGTGTTTATTGCTTTTGCAGTAATATGAGTAGAGCAGGAGAGTCACTTAATGAATCGCCAAGTGTTTTATTACTGTTTAAACAACTGCTTCCCACTTATTATTCTTAGTAACTAGAGACGTCTGTGAAGGTCGGTTAAAGTTTATAACTTTCACAACAGGGTGTCAAGTGAGCTGCCACCCACACCCACCGTTAACGACAACAACGCGCGAAGTATCACGTTACTCTGTAAACAAAAACTCCCTTCCTTGTTGGAGGTGGGTCAGATGTCAAGGTTACTGTTTAATTCTATTGAACGGAATGTTGTCCTTGATATTTAAGAATCAGTTTTGTCAGAACTTTTAATACATTTTTTATAATTTATTTCCACTTCAGTTATAAAATTTGTTTTTATCATGTTTTAAATCAATTTGTTATAAATTACACTTGTATAAAGTTTATGAATTAAAATTGCAATAATATTTTGTTGTTTCATAAAATATTTATTCATTATACAGAGTTCAAGTTACTTTGAGTTATCACTATATGTGCAGTAGTTCATAAGTCACTAGGCTCTTGGCTTATGGTGTGACCACCATCATGTAAGTATGAATTGTGTTGATGTCATTGAATTTTTTAATAAGTATATTCAGATAATAACAAGTGAATATTCTACTAACTAAGTCATGTTGTGAACAAGGCCAAGAAATGCCGTACTGATTAACAATTGTTATTAAATCTGACCGTTCCTGTTCAAGCATTAGGCAGTTGAATATATAATGTTCACTCCCATCAACAATATCACATATTGAACATCTATTTGTATTTAAGGTAGAGAATTTGTTTAGGTAATTTGCAAATTTCCCATGATCCGTAAAGAATTGTGTTAATAGATGTGTTGGTTGTATCCAATTATATTTGTGTATGTCCTTTATAATTGGGAAGAACTTGTACATAGTCTTTTCTTTGTATGTACTCCATTTCTGTTGCCATTTGTTTAAAATGTCATTCCATAATAGTTTATTGGCCATCTGTAAGCTAATTTTGTTGTATATTATCGGTAATTTAGGATCATTAGTGGCAGACTTAGCCAATTCGTTTGCTCTTTCATTCCCAAAGGTACCTTCATGTACTCTGGTTCACATGAAATTATAATTGTTTGTTGAAGCTGTTATTTGTTCTTTAATTTTTGTAGAAATCTGATTTAATTTACTGCTTTTAATTATTGCTAGAGCAGATGCGCTATCACTTATAATGATGATGTTTTTGAATCTGTATTCTCTTTTGTCCACACTAAGGCCTCAAGAATTACATTCATCTCAGCTAGAAAGATTGTAGATAATTCCCCCAATTTAAATGTTTGATGATATATTTCAATGTTGTCAGAAAAGACTACAAAAGCACAACCAACTTTATTTACAATTTTTGAACCATCGGTATAGATTATGATATCTTGATAAGAAATATTCTCATCAAGATATTCACTACAGTCGACTCCCCTATAACAGTGTTGATAATTTTGTTTTATATGAATTTCATGTTGTACAAGTCACTTAGATTTTACAAATACGTGCGCCGGGCTGTGAACGGCTCATGTATTTGTAAAATCTAAGTGACTCTTACAACATGGAATTCATATAAAATGGAATTATCAACGGTCTAATAGGGGGGGTCGACTGTACTTTGATAGTAAGTCTTTTTCGTTTTGATTTGGAGTGGCAACTTAAAAGTTATGGTTTGAACACTACATTATCAGCAAAAATTGAGAAACTTTGAATTTGTTTTTTTTTTTTTTTTGCTTATATATAAAAGTTGCATTTGTTTTCTTTTGGAAAAGCAATTCAATGAACATACAATTCAAATCATTACTATATTAAAAGTGAGAATAACAGAATAAGTTAGTTTTACATTACAAAAGAAAAATTAATTATGGTTGCCTAAAGCAGTGGTTTGCAAACTGTGGATAGTGATCCCTATAGGGATCATGAGAAAATTTTTCAGGTTACCAGATTCAAAGAAATTTATTTAACAATAAAACTCAAATATGTAAGAGTTTTCTTTAACAAGTTTTAGCCATTATTAGGTTCCAGTAAAGTAGTGGCATAAAATTAGTTCTATAAATAATATATCTTTTAATGAAAATAATATTTTTTATTAATATCTTATATTTGTANGAGTGCCGGGTTATCGAGAGACGAGTTTTCGAGGTTCTACTGTACCACAATTTAGAAAACAAGTAGAAGAAAAATTGAATAAGGAGCTGGGCAACTTGAAAGATAATGGGTGTGTATACTTTTAGCTCCGATCTCGCCCCTAGCGTGCTCAGCCTGTATACTTTTTGTTAGCTACCAACAAGCACGGCATATACTTTTCGCATCCGTGACGTCATTGCTAGCATTCCTAGCACACTCGACGTGCCCGGAGAACTTACAACGAGCTTGGCGTTAGTTCAAAGATGCTGGCGTCCATGTACAATGTTACTGTTTCCTTACCGGACGGAAAAGAAGTTCAACTACGCGTTAATGAAGTCGTTTGTCATCAGATGATGGAAGGTAAGTAAAAAGGGATTCCTAAAAGTGTATAATTTTATATCATAAATCCTATTTCGATAACAGAAGCTTCATTACAGATGTACATTATGCCAGAGAATTGGCTTTGACGACTCTTTCCACTGCTTCAGTTGGACCGAGTATCCCTGCTGGTAAGTCAAATTTTGATTTCAAATGAAATTGTTGAAAGGATAAACTAAGATCACGATGTAATTAGCGCTGATTGTTAAAAAATTTTAGAATTTTTAATCTGTTATAATAAGGGCTACATATGCTAAATATTTTCTATCTTTTATTATAGAAAATCCCTGTGGCTTCCAGTGGCCCAAAGCCAGGACCATTCAATTAATTTCGTTATACAACGAACACAGGGAGAAGTTTGAATTACCTCAATATACAAATATTCAGGTTGTAGCCTACTGCTTGTCAAATTAACATTGTACCTGTGAACCTTTCATAAATAATTTCTAACAACCTTCTTTAATATTAAAGATATGGAGGCTAATTTCAAATAAATTAAACGAGGAGGGGTTTTCGGTCACTCCAGCCCAGGTTGACACCAAATGGCGAGGACTGAAAAAAACATTTAAAAAAATCAAACTCTACAATTCCCAATCCGGTAACAACCGGAAGCATTGGGAATTTTATTCTTTAATGGACGATGCCATTGGGAGACGGCCAGAAATTTTCCCTGTTGCTACTTGCAGCAACACAGATGGAGTGAGAGTAAATTCACACTCAAGTTCCTCATCCCCGTCTCCTGTTGCCTGCATGTCATCCCCGTCTCCTGTTGCCTGCGCATCATCATCCGCAACCAGTTCTCGTAAGAGAAAAAGAGAAAGCAGAGAGTTGGTGAAAGCTTTAAACGACATAAGAAGAGAAATACAGGAGAGGAGGGAGGAAAGGAAGAAAGAGCGTGAAAAACTCAATGAAGTGCTAAATAAAATTTTAGAAAAATTATATATAAAGTTCTTTTTATATTGAAAACAAAAAGTTTTTATTTCATATCAAGTAAAGAAAAACTAATTTTTAATATTTTTGATGTAATCTTTATTTCATAAACTTTTGGATATACCTTAATTACTTAATATTTGATATATATATACAAAAAGTTATATACAGAAAAGATATATATTACAGAAAGTTATATAACACATATATCAATACATACAAAAAGTTATACAGTGATTGATCGGATAACACTTTCATGAAAGATTTTTGTTCGGGCAACAAACACTTCATATAAACACAAGAAGTGATATAAAATAATGAATTTATTATTTAAAAAATTAATACATTTTTAGCATTTATGTTATTAAATTAATGCTGTATTCGCCTTGCAAAAAGAGTGTTAGCCAAATCATTACGCTTATTTTGTGCCTCTCTTCTTGCTTGGACATTTTCAATTTCTACTGGCACTCCAACTAATCTTTCCTCTTCAATATTAAGTTCATCTCCTTCTAAAATAGAAAAGTTGTGGAGAATGCATCCTGCCATAATGAGCATTACCATTAAGTCCAATCGATGCATGTCGAGAAGTTTGAAGCGTCTGAACCGACCAACAAACAACCCAAATGTTCTTTCAATTGAGCTTCTGCATTTGGAAAGCTTAGTATTAAAGTATGACTGAATTTCAGTTAAATGGCCATTGTCTCGGTATGGTGTTAATAAGTATTTGTTTAAGGGGTAGGCTGCATCACCAAGGAGGTGAGTATCTATCGGAAATCCTACACCTTCATCAATTCTTTTAGATAATGTGGATCGACGATAGACACAGGCATCGTGAACTGATCCTGCCTCTCCTACGTAACAATCTGTGAATAGCAACTTCTCGTTGCATACAGCCTGGAGGATGACAGAATAAAATTGTTTCCTATTATAATAGGATGAATGATCATTCCTGGGGGCTTTAATAGCCATATGTTTACCATCTACAACTCCAATCACTCCAGGAAAACCAAACTTTTTCGTATAATAATCGCTTGTTTTAAAAGCCTTCTCTTGGTTTGGCCAAGAAAGTATGCCTTCACTTTTATTTAGGTCCAAAAGTGCAGATGAAAATTCATGCAGTATTTTCCAAGCTGTTTGTCTGCATACATTAAATCGATCCGCAGCTAACCTGAAAATAAAAATGCATGTTAAGTTGCTACATAGTATTGTATATACATATATATTGATAATTTGTATATAATGCAATATATTAACAGCATTATACAGTCTGTTAATTAATTATAGCCACACTTAGGTTGGGTTAGGAATTTAAGAGAAATGATTTCATTTGTATATGCAAATTATTTTACAGATTTTTGAAAATTTCAAAATTAATCATTATATTAATAATTTAACAACAAAAATATATTTTTTGGTTTCCCAAAAGTATAGATAATAAAACAAAATTGCAAAATTTGAAGCATAAGAAACTTATAATTATAAAAATAAATGGCATCACACAGCACTTTTACTTTGTTGTCAAGTAGTAATTTAAATACTGAATCAAAACTTTCCAAAATTCCACATGGAAAAGATTTTAGTATGGAAGAAATTACATGAATATGGAAATTAAAAGCAGAAGGCTGTAGTTTCAAGGAAATTGCAGTTTAAATGAACAGATTTACTCCTGGAATTTATAAAATTTTGGAAAAACATCACTAATACCTTCTAAACATTGATCAGGAAAGCCCAAAATCATATGTCAAAGTGGTAGTGATAGAACTGTGCATCTTGCATCACAACAGAATAAATTATATTGTCAAATTTTGTGTGAAAGTGGATAAAAAACATCGAAAAGCACTATTCATCAAAGAATTTCAGCAGCTCCACATGTGAAATTTGATGCCTTGATAAAAAAAATCATCAGTAACAAAATTGGAAAGAATGCAGTAGACCAAAGGTCACATGCTGTGGAATGACTGATAGCTCTCAGTCCTTTACAGTAATGAAAAGAAATTTAATTTGTATGGTCTAATTACTGGCATGGTATTAGGAAAGATGCATGCAGTTTTTCAGAAGTCAATAAGGTGGTGGTTCTGTTATGGTATGGGGCTGCTTTGGATTTAATGGTTTATCAAATTTAGGGATTTTAACTGATAGAAAAACATCTAAAAATTATCAAGAAGTCTTAAAGTAATTTATTACCTATTGGAGAAGAAATTAAGAGGGACAAACTGTAATTTAATGCAAACAGAGTATTTAATCTTAGTTGTACCATTTTTAGCTTCTGTATGTATAAATTTACCTTTAAAATATAAAAATTTGGTGTGGTTATATTTAATTGACACAAAAAGATCAAGAATTTACAAAATTTATGATGTTAAAAATTGTTAAATTCTATTTTACAGTATAAATAAGTTATGTTTAAAGTTTCATTTAAGAATTCTTTATAGTTTTCTTTTAATTCAAAAAAATATATGCATTTTGTTAATTTTAACCACAATTCATATTATTAACATGAATCTCAATTAACGATATAGATCTGTACTTTACCTGAACGGAGCTTGATTCGATAACAAGTAGAGACTGCACAATATTTTTTTCTCCACCGTCAATGGGCATCGTCCTCTTGAATTCTGTTTGCTATTAAGTAAGGGTGCTAATTTTGATATTAAAATGTCCACAGTTGTTCTGTTCAATCGAAAATGTTCCTGAAAATCCTTCGATCGGTATCTTGGCACAGTGTACTCAACATACCCTTTTACTTTTTCGACTGACTTGCTTTTTTCGCCACTAGATGCATTCACCTCAGCTTCAACTGCAGACATTGCACATTCTAACAATAAATCATCGTCTTCAGACTCCGAATCTAGCGATTGCAGTTGTGAAATAATAGCTACAGCCGCTGATACTAAACCGTAAGACGCCATTACTGTGTATACTTTTACCAACGTGCTAGTATGACGTCAGGCAGTGCTAGTATGACGTCAGGCAGCGCTAGGTGTCAGCTCGGCGAGCTTGGAAGCTAGCAAAAAGTATACGCACCCAAT